AGAAACAAGAAGAACGAGAAAAGAAACAAGAAGAGAGACAACAACAGTGGCAGCTCGAACAACAAAATAAACAAGAGAGATTACAGCAGTTGTTGGAGGAAAAGAAACAAGAAGAACGAGAAAAGAAACAAGAAGAGAGACAACAACAGTGGCAGCTCGAACAACAAAATAAACAAGAGAGATTACAGCAGTTGTTGGAGGAAAAAGAAAAGAAACAAGAAGATAGACTACAACAGTGGCAAGAAGTACAAACGGAAAACATTAGTAAATTTAAAAGCGAATTAGATACATTAAAGGATGATTTATTGTCTTTTACACAAGGAGGACACATTAACCACGACTTAATCAGCCCCAGAAAATGACAAGCCCCTTCCAGACCCTGCAGCTAAACCCTAATGCAGACATCTTCAGCTCTGTTAGAAGTCACATCCCAGATATGAATGTCAGTAATAGAAGTGATTCAGTAAGAAGGAAGCCACAGGAATATTATGGGAGAGCACCGTGGGAAGCATATAGAGCACAATTTGCAGTTAGTTACCAGTTTGTATGATATAAGCTTGTATAATATAGACTGACTATCAAGCTAATGTTCATCTTGAAATTCAGGTTACAAAAGATGTTTTTGCTTACTCCAGGCTGGCTCGGTCACCTAGTTATTGTGAAGTTCATCCCAGCATTCTGCCTTGAGGTGTTTGGGCATAAGATGTAAGTAGCCATGCATTTTCTTCAGCACTGTTCCACATTTTGGAGCGTTAATATGAATTTTGCTTTTTCACAAACACAGCACTCAAGGAGTGTAGTGATGCATCTACGAACTTTAAAGAAAAACTGGAAAATTTGTTCAATATTCCTACAGAAAGTGCTTGGTTGCAAGATTGAATGACTTTTAGATGAGACTGGATGATCCTATGTTAGAAGTTATCAAGTATCTCATTGGCTCAAGGATGCCTGAGATGTCATCATAGAAGAACTTAAAACTTGACAGTCCAAGTATTACGAAAATTTAACCATTGATGCTGATGAGTTGTACTGGTCTCACTACAATTTTTATATAAACCAGTGGCATAGACAATTCTTTAAAATTACCCTGGTACCAGCATGGCAAACCACATTGCATGTAGCACTTTGGTTTGGTTTCTTTGTATATGTGTGTATGTGTGTGCATCTATGCGGAACCTTGCTGGTTTTGGGGACAAAGAAATCTATAACGTCTTGTATTGCATTTTATGTAATTGCATCAAAACAATAGTGTTATATAAATAACTAGTCAGGTTACGAATCATATGTTTGGAGAAAATTTAATCTCACAAACTAAATGATTTTCGTATTTATAAACTAATGCGTAATTATGTCAGCTCATTACCTCTCTTCACATTTGGTACCACCCATGCTACAATCTACAAACTATTTTTTTGCACTTAAGTTTCTTTATGGGGCGGGAATTTACCATCACTCACTCAGGTATTGGCTAGATATGTGCCTAGCCAGGCCTAGCTTCAGCTATGTCACTGATCTAAGAATGGCTCTAGGTGGCCACAATGTTACTTGTATGTGATTTTTAATTAAGCTACCAGATTAACTGATGCATCACGTGAGAAAAAAGTGCTGTTTTGGCCTAACATAAGAAGTGTCCGTAGCAATGAAACTTTAAGTCAGAACTTTAGCTAAATTGTGGGATTGGAAAAAGCCTGCATTACGTCAACTCCGTCACACTCGCAGTTTCTTGAACTACTGTAACTCAATGTTCCAACATTAAATTACATATATTTCTTAAGTATGTATTTTTGTTCTTTTTGTGACAAATTTGTAGAGCCCCCCCCCCCCTGGTAGAATTTTAGAGTCCAGTCTACCCTGACATATGCCATCATGTGCTGCATCCCAACCAAACTGAATCCTGTGGTATTCTTAGGTTAAACTGATTTGCTTAAAGAGTATTAGGTAGGTCTGTTTTTTAAGAGGATGATAGGCAGGATAAACTACGAAGTAATACTGAATTTAACTAAAATGACAGAGTTTAAGTAACAAAGTTATCTGACTGGACATGGTGTGCAATACAATATGAAAGTAATCATTATCCAACAGAAAGTCAAAAATTCAAAAGTCAAAGTTTTTTTTATGCTGGATGGTCACCTCTTTCTGGACTTTTCAATTGATTAAACTGGCTTTCTTTCCTCAAGATGTTTTCTATAATTGGAAACATCCAATGCACACAAAAACTAGCGCTACCTACATGTTTGTCATTCTCATTCAACATAGGGGAGATCATAACCTCTAGATATCTACCCTATAAATGAATGATATTGCTATCGTCTACATTCTAGCATAACATGCAGCGTTACAATAATATTTTGTTACGCCTCCGTTCGTTAGTTAATTTTCCGTAAATTCGTTCAGCCGAACCCTTCGCGACACACATCATTTCCTAACTAAAACTGGC